AGTAGTCAATGTGTACAAGGTCCAGAATGCATAATTAGTTCTACACACTGATTCAGAACTGGTTCCTCATTTTATATATTTGCAACAGCGCGTTGCTACGTCTTGGCAGGATTCTGACGTAGACGCGTTCTGTTACATGCCCACAGATGGGAGCCTCGTGCCAGTGGCTCCCCCGCCAAGAAGCCACCCCAGTGCTCAAACTGCTGTTTAAGCCACACCAGTGCTCAACCTGCTGTTCCTCTGGTACTGAGCAGGATTACTAGTATGTATGAGTTGTGTCTGAGGACAGTTGTTAGTCTGGCTTGGAGAAGAGAAGGCTGAGGGGCAACCCCATTCCTCTCTACAGCTTTCGGAGGAGAGGAAGTGGAGAAAGGGAGGTACTGAGCTTTTCTCCCTCTCATCCAGTGACAGGACAGGTGGGAATGATCCAAAGCTACGCCAGAGGAGGTTTAGACTGAATGTTAGGAAGCATTTCTTCACTGAGGGGGTTGGTCAAACACTGAAACAGTTTTCCTAGCGAGGTAGCTGATGTCCCAATCCTGTCAGTGTTTAAAAGGCATTTGGACAATGCCCTTAATAACACGCTTTATCTTTTGATCAGCCCTGAAGTCATCAGGCAGTTGTAGGAAATGGTTGTAGGTCACTTGCAAGTGAAATCAGTTGATGCAGTTGTGCTAATTAAATGGATAAAGTGTTCTGAAGTTGTAGTATGTTTTAGCATAGGGTCTGCTGGTTTGCTTTTAAAATAATTCTTTGGAATTTATTTTTGGACAAGCAGATTCAAAGCTATTATTGCCTTAAATGTTATCTAAAGAGAACATGTTCAGTGTATTTTATCTTTGACCTTACTGACTAGTACCATGCCTTTGCATTAGTGTGCTCTAGTATAATCCAAAATCACACATAGATTATGTACAGCATGCTTTTTGTGTCAATAACATAAAAAAAATAGAAGTAACTCTGGATTTGTAAATTCTAGAATTCTGTATAATCTGGAATAAAAAGTACAATATAAAAAAAATAATTGACACAAAACCAGTTATAGTATAGTAGCTATTCAGGAAAGTTACTGCATCGTTGTTCATGCTAATTTGCAGAACCATGATCAAATCAGGTGAACAGTCAGAACTATCAGACTAGCAATTCCGAATTTTTAAGAAGCTACCCTAATTAGATTTTTTCCTCTCCTTTCTCTTGCATCCTTTCTTTCTCTTTCTCCTGCAACTATCTTACTTACTTGTTTGCTGCCTTTCCTACACCCTGAGATATTTGCATTTCTTCTCTAACACCTTTGTTAAAGAACAACACCGTGCTTTGCTTTTTGCCCCGAGCCGCTGGAGAACTCCCTGTCATGTCTCTATTTCACCCAGTGTGACTGACTCTTCACTTCTCAGGAGAGGGATAGAGTAGGTGAAGGGAAAGGAGGAGGTAAGGGCTTGGGTTTGTTTGCAGTTTTACAGACTTATGTCAGCCCCTTTCTTTCTTCTCTTTCCTGCCTCCCTCTCAGCCTCCCTCCCTCTCCATCAATACTTAAAAAATCGTTGCCATTCATGTTGTGTGCGCACACGCTGGGAGGAATTACAGGCGCTCTGCTCCAGGTTGCCTTGACAACTTGAAGGCATCCCTGTCCGTGCAGGCCGGTGGCACGGCCAAGTTTCCCAGGCCCCCTGGGGGAGGGGAGGGGAGAGGAAGAGAGGAGGCAGAGGTGCGGGGCGGAGGCAGAGGTGCGGGAGCCAGCAGCCGTGTGGAGGGGACAGCAGCGAGCAGAATGAAAGGGACACATACATCTCCCGGAGGACAAAGGGAGTTTTGCTGGCTGGCTGTGAAAGGACACACTGAGGACACAATGGCCCGTGACACATGAAAGCTTTGTAGAAAACTTTATTGCTTGTCCATTAAGGACCCTTCCAGAATCCCATTCAGCTCTAAGAAATCTTGTGAACATCTTAAAATGCAAAGAAAAAAAACCCCTTCATTTTATCGTCTTTTAAAAACAGATTTTAAATATTTTTTTAGATTATTCTTGCTGTTGGTATACTGGAAGCTTTTGCAGATTTGGCCCTGGATGGTACTGTGTCTCTCTTGTACGTTCCCTAAGTTTCCATTAACTTAAGTGGTGAGGTGGAGGCTGCCCAGCAGCCTCCCAGTAAGGGCTCTCTGAGGTGAGAATTTGCTTTCTCCTCATATCACTTTTGTTCATCCTTCGGCCTGTCATCCCTCTGCTTTGAATGCTTGCTGCGATACATGGCATGAGCGGTTAGGGCTTAAGAAGAGTGGCATTGCTGTTTCCTACTTTCAAGCTGAGAAGTCATTTATATGTTAAGCAAGAGTAGGAATGAGACTGAGCAACCTAAAATAAGGGGCTGTGTAGTCACAGCCAGAGTGCATAATAGCAAACCAAGCTGGAAAGCAGCTTATGACCCTTGCTCCCTGACATATCACTTGTAAATGGTTCACCACTCAATCCCAGAATCAGTCCAAGAAAGAAATAGGATCACATGCTCTAATCCTTCAACACAACAATCTTTAGTGGTAAGATATGCCCTACTCTGACTCCTAGTGAATTTTGGACTGTAGGAGACTCAACCTAGTATCAAGTGTGGAGTACAAAGAAAGATCAGGCTTGGTTCAAGCAGTTAAGTATGTATTCTTGCTGATGCTCTAGAGTGACAGTGCTCAGCATCTGGTCCTGAATTTATTACCTGGCAAGGGCAGGGTATTGGGAGCTGACTGATTTAACATTTGTGCATTTCCAAACTTTCCTGTCTTAACCTTTCCATGTTCAGGATGTAAACCAAGTTTAAACCTCATCTTAGCTAAAATTAAAAAAAAAAAACCCACAGCCCATTGCTGCTACTTTAGAAATAGCAAGTAAGAAGATTAAAAAGTAACTAAAATCTGTAAAGATAAAGTTGACTGGACTACTATGCATGCATTGATTTTTCACTTTTTAAAATACACTTCTTTTTAAGTTACATATTGATACTTTAAAAATAAAATTTGTAACAAATGCTGTCTGACATAAACATTGCACAACTCAGTAGCAGAACTGAAATTCTCAGAAACTTTTAACTAAATTTTTATGCATTTGTTAATTATGTTTGCATTATTTTGCATCTGCATTATTTTGAGGACTCAAAAATAAACCCATCCTCCATCCACTGACAAGACAGCTATAGGACTTGCTTTCTGTTTGTTAAGATAGGAAAACTATTTATTACTTGGTAGCATTTACCATTTTTCTCACAGAATTTCAAAACATAAAGGTAAACTTACCGCAAGCATTATCATCCAGTTTTATTGATGGGAAAGCTGAGCAGAGAAATGAAGGATCAAGAGCTTCAAATCTTGGATTTACAATTTCAGTTTCTTATTATGCCAGTAGCATTTTGTTTTTCCACTACAATGGCACATGTAAATCAAGAAATTCAGGGTGCAAATCTAGTGATCTCCCTTTGCAAATCATTTTGTGGATACAAATCTTACCGGCTCTAATGGCTCCCAAAAAAAAGCACAGTCAAATGCTTACTGAAAAGAAAGGGTAAGTATGAAGCATGTGATTGGTTTTATACTTCGAAGATTTGATCAGAGCCTGGAACACAGCTTTGATCTCAATTACATCACAGACTGCAGTACTTTCACTGTAACTCCAGTATAACATATTTCCTTCTTTAGCAGATAGAGAAGAAGTACACCGTATATATACAATTATTTCAGTAAACATTTAGTTTTGCCAGGTCATTAATCTAGTTTTATGTTTCCATATTATTTATATTCATGCTGTCCTGTTGCCTTATTTTAAATGCTTTCTTCTCTGAGATAGGAACCAAGAGCAGAAGGTGGTTAACTTACATTATACTTTATATGTTCAAAGATGGTAGCTAGAAAAATGGGTGGGCAGTAGGTGGAAGTCTGGATTATACAGTGCCATATAGGGGTCCACAGGAGGAGATAATAAAGCAAAGAGATTATTTCCTGACCAATATCTTCATTCTGGACTTTGAAATCTCGATTCCAGCAGGAAGTGTCATTATTGTTTTAAGACAGGTGGTGTAGCCGTTCAGATGAAGTAAGGAGAAGTTACTGACTACTTGAAATTTTAGGGAGAAGCGGCAAAGGGGCATTTTAAGGAGAAGAACACTAACTGCACCTGCTTGGAAAGAGAAAGAGCATTTCCATTTCTGACAGCCCTTATGAGACACTCCTCAGAGATTTAGAGCTCTTTCC